GGTTAATGGTATTACTCTCACATAATCTCTTGTATAAGATATTGTACTTATCGCTTGACTTGAGATTGATTGTGGGAAATTTATGAATGCATAATGAGACCATTCGGGGTCCCAAACGTAGTCTGATTGTTCTGTGATGGCGGTATCATCGTTTGAGTTTTGAGGTCTAAAATTTTTTCTTGCTTGTGAAATTAAATCTATATTATGTGTGAAATAATCTATTATAAACCATGCCAAAATTTTTTGTAAATCATGTTTTGTATGTGGTGAAACTTCATCTTTAGTGAAATTTTCTTTAATTATATTTAGGAAACTAGAAAGTAGTGTAATTTCATGTCGTACCCTTATATGTTTAGATGTTTCTGTCGGTGAGACATTTGGGATTGGGATTTCGTTTTCTAATATTGAGATATAACTATATATTATTGCAAAAACTTCATTGGTAAATATGGAGTTTGCTCTTTGTGAGTTATGATATTGTATGCTTTTTATATATTCTGAGAATACTTTTGAAAATTCTAAATCAAGGTCGTCTGTTTGAATTACATATTTGCTGTGATTCTGGTTTGGTGAGCTGAATTCTATGGTGTAGATTCCGTATTGTTGTGTTAAATTACATATATCTTTCAGATAGTGATCGATAATTTGTCTTTTGATTTTTACATCTGGGAACTCTGCTTTACATGGGCTGATTCCGGGTTCAAACAAATTTAGGAGTAAATTCTTGCAAAAATCATGTTGTCCTCTATTATCGGGTGCATCTACGAGGAAGGGGTAGATATCGTCATCATCTGGACTATCTTCACTCGGAGTGTGTGTTTGGCTCATTTTTTCGTTTCATGACTGTTAATAAGTAATTATCTATGTGTCTAATTGGTTGATTCCAATTATATAAGTGTACTGGTTTGTGTTTATATTGCTTTTTTATTCTTCTTTTTCCTCTTTTTGATGAATTTGAAGTTGTTTCTGAGTCAGAAAAATATAATTGGTCGTGAATGGGGCAATTTTTATCTATTGACTCTTTTAATTTATAAAGTTCGTCTAAAGCGCTGGCTTCTGATTCTGAAAATGCGTTTCTATTTTTGGAAAATCTTTTTCGTGTTATTTGTCTTTGTTTGGTTATTATTTTTCTTTTTAGTGTTTGTCGTTTTGTTCTAATATATCCAACTGTTTGTGTATGAGGTGTGATTACAAGGTCGTATTTTTTGTTATCTATTTCACAATTGTGTAAAACGATTGTTTGTTTGTTTCCTAGATTTTTAAATGACATAAGGTTTAGGATGACGGATGCAAAAGGTTGTTAGATGATTTCTATTTTCTTAAACTGTTAATCCTTACGATTTTTTGGTTAGCTTAACCTGGGTCTAGTTGTTCAGGGTTGGAGAGAAAAGTATAGCGATTCCGAAGAATGATTTTTTACTTTCTCGTGACTAGTATAAGCTAAGGTGTTAAGTTACTTAATCTTACTTAGGGGTAGTGATTGTGTTCAAGGGTTGGAGAATAGTAAATCGATCCACAAGGTTCAGGTATAATTAGAACGCGAGTAGTTCGTTAGATACAATTTTAAACTTACTAAGTCTAAGATTTATCCTGGGTTTGTTAAGAGGGGGGGTCAAGTGAAGGATGAATAACCGAAGTTCTTCACTGTTTATCCTAATTTGAATGGTTAGTTTTGTTCAAAAATTTCTATTAGTCTTGGGTTTTTAGAAAGGGTTGGATAGTGAATCGACGTTTGAGGTCGTTAGACACTAGCTAAGTGGGTGGGGGAGAACAAAATTGTTCTTTTTGATCCAAGGATAGACCTTGATGATCAAGTTTTAAATTTAATTAAATAGAAAATGAATTAAGATCCAAGGATAAGCCTTGATGATCTGATTTTAAAATTAAGTGAATTTAAGTTTAAAATGGTTTAAATTTGTTTAAGGAAAATATTTAGTGTTTCAATGATATTAGTGAGCTTATGAATGCTGTTATAATTAGGTGATGAAGCTGGAACAACAGGATGATTTATGATTACTAACAGTTTATTGTCATGCTACTAATTTTTGTTTTGATTTTTCAATAAATATTCTTCAAACATGTTTTATATATTACTGCAGAATTTAGGAAAACGATCTGAGATCTTTTTATCAATCGTTATTGTATATTAATAATTTTGTTTAGCGCCTGAAATGATTATGAAGATTGACTTCAAGATTTTATGTTTGCAAATGAAAATCTAAATTCATTGCTAATAAAATTCTAAATATAAAAGTTTGTGTTGGCTTTTGCCGTACTATCATATAACTATTTGGTAAGTTTCTACTTTGTCGTATGTCGTCTCTGGTTCGAGGTCTTCTTCCAATTCCGGGTAGTTCTGTTATCGTTCGGAATATTGGCTCTGATCTATTGAGTCGTAGAGACATTTCGATTAAATTATCGTCGTATAACATTTTAAAAATGTTTTGTCTAAATTCTAATCTATTTTTGGTTAATTCTAAGCTATTAAGGTCTTGTTCGAGACTTATGGTTGCACTAGATGAGTTAGGACCGAAGTGGTTAACTCATAGAGTAATTTCGGATAGGGTACACCGTCTGCTCGTCACGCTATCTTATTTTCGGCCGGATAGATTCGTGCAACTTCTTAGTCTAATACCGATCCTAATCTTACTCTTATACTATCTAGTCTCAGGTTGTTTAACTAGTCTCTGCTAGGCTCAATAGATCTAGGGTATACTGGTTTATTGCGGCTACTGAAGTCGTCTTGGAGAGTCAACTAAATTCTAAGTTAAATTCAAATCTCTCTGGTGCTGAAATTACAAGTAATTTCAGCACTTACAAATAAGTGGGTTGTTAGTTAGATGGATCATGATTGGTTAATATTAAATACTTTACAGTGGTAAAATATCTAATTTATCCAATCATAAAATGTAGTTCAGATCAAGTTCCATAATTGATAGAAAGAAAAAATTTCAAATTTTTATTTTCTCTACGCAGAAAAATTTCTGGTGTGATATATCTGTCGAAAAACTTCAAAATTAAGTGGGCAGGTTCGAATCGCTCTCTGAGTGAAACAAAGTTTTTTTTTACAGTTGCTCAAATAATTTTTTTTCCGATAGGATTCAAAAAAAAATTTTCCGATTTTTTCTCCTGATTCAAAAAAAGTAACATTCATGCGTTTTGTCTGGCTGGTATCAATTAATTGATCAAAGATTCGAACAATTATAAATTTGAGGCTGATCAGTGTAACCGTGTAATTCGATCAAACAAAAGACTTTCAATCAAAACAACATCATTTTTCTTTTCATCAATGTAGCCTATAATTGAGCCTATATCAATTGCTGGTACACTAGTTGTCATTTTTTTAAACCAAAAATCTGACAAGCTACTCCGAGTCACAGCTAAGATATTTCATATTGTTTTCCATTTTTTTACCTTGATCGATTTGAAGGATATCACGAAATGTACAAGCATATCAGGCTGTTTTGCGTCTCGCAGGGACTTGACCAATCAGTCTTACAGGCAGTTTTTTAACTTATTAGCTTATCGTAATTGTTTTATATCCAATTATAGCGTCAAATTAATTAAAAGGCATGACAAAAGATGCAAGCGTGAGGTAAAACATAATTGCAAAAAAGAAAAAACCAAAAACCTTGTTGAACCTTGGAGCCCCAATTAAGTTTCTTTCAAAGTGTGCAATAGAAGAGTTATTGTATAAGCAAAAACAAAAGGTAAGTTAGATATCCGACATAAATTTTCTAGACTCTTTTCCATTTCCCCTACATTCTAAGTGTTGGACTTTGTTAGTTGTCCTATGTGTTATCTTGGCTAAATGCTTGTTTCATTTACGCAAAAAAAACATGTTCACAATAGTTAAGTTGCTCATCATGAAAAATTTGATAACATTATGACAAATAATTTTTTTTTCAAAACTGAAAGACACAAAAGGGGAAAGAGAAAAAGAGCCCCAATTTTTACTAGAAGCTTTTGTTGGGTGCGGCCACATTCTATTGATTATGATGTGACCTGTCTAAAAAAAGCCAAATGTAGAGGCAATTAGCTGAAAACTACTTTGCTTAGATGTACCATTTTTCAATTTTTTTTCGGACAGCGAGATGGAAAAATTGCCTAACTTTTGTGCACGTGCAAAAAATAACAATTGAAAAATTAGGTTTTCACTAAAAAATAAACAAGGACATAAGTTAGAAAAAAATATATATTCTCCTGCAAACAAAGAAAAACCGTATTTCAAAAATGAACATGAATGGTATGTTATTTGGGTACATGATTGGCAAAGAGACCGCGAACAATCAACAACCTCAAGCACCTCAGTTCATTCAACAAGCTCCAGCTTATCCCCAACCTCCGCCTGCCCAGCATCACTATTACTACCAGCACCCACCCCCTGGACAATATCCACAGGAACTCTCTTTTTCTCTTTTTCAGCTGTTTTCCAGTTTCCCATTCTCTCGTAAAATTACAAATTAAAAGTGTATAAAAAACGTTCATGCTGTATTTTGCATGTGATTTTATCGCGATATTTATCACTTGATCACGCTCTTTTGCAGTTTAAAACATAAAATCTTTTCCAGCCCGCATCAGCTTTTTTTAATTTAGTTATGACGTTCCAAAACGAATTTCAGAAAAAAATTAATTGCGGCAGTGAAAAGACTTTTTAAATAGCTGTATTTTCCTGGATTGCTCAATTTATATCAATCTTTTTCAACTAAAACAATAATCAAATACGGCTTTTCTACCTCCAACCTGCATGCTTTTGTATTTTTTTTTACTTGGGAAGGAGGTACGGAGGGGGAGGGGTTACATTAGAAGAGATTCATTTAGCAGATTTGAAAGATAACCAATATTAAAATCAATTAACAAATTCGCGGAAAAATATCAGTCATCTTTTTTTCAATTCAACGTGAAGAAATTTCGCGAAAATCCGATAACGTACGAAAATCTCAACATTAAAAATTTTGCACATATTTTCGGGTTGAAAAAAGAAATGGAAAAGTTTACAGGGAGGATACCAACAACATCAACAAGGCTACCCCGGACAACAGTATGCACCGCCTCCTCCACCCGGATATCAAGGTCCACCTCCCCCTCCCGGGCCCTACGGACACCAACAAGGCGGGTACCCTCCAAATCAAGCGCCTCCTGCACCGCCATATCAAAGAAACAGCTACCCTCAAGTTGGTCCTACTCAGGGCAACATGTACCCACCTCGTCAAGCTAGCAGGCCCAAAATATCACAAAACTATCCGCAAGCGCCTCCTCAGCCCCGTAGTGACCAACAAAATCATTACGAAAATCAACAAGCCCAAGAACTACCCTCAAAAGCAGGTAATATTGGGTGGAATGCAGATACAGAAAAAGAAACAGAAAATGATCCAGAAAACAAAGTTCAGTGTGAAAAGCGAAAAGATGAAGCGCCTGCAAAAGCACAATCAGCTGGTCTTCAAAAAAATACTCCCAAGAAAACACCGGCTAAACAAATGAGCAAAGCAGCTTCAAGTCCGCATATAAGCCAACCCAGTAAAACCTCTGCTGGCAAAATAGCAAAGAATGACCTCAAAAAGAACTGACAAAGGAAAAGGAAGGGCAATTAAGAAATGAGATATTTCAAAGGCTTGCTTTCCACTAAGAACCAAAGAGGAACTCTCAGATATCAACTTTTTGTTTGCTTTAAAAATCCTAAATAATCAAAATTATGTTTTTTATTAAGTTAACCTTGTAAAATAAAGTAGACGAAACGACATTTCTGCAATTTCCCGCAGCCCCCTCGTAATATTACGAAGCAAAGCTCGTTGAGAATTTGTTCACTTATTCACGCTGACACTTTTATTGCAGTTACAACATCAAAAATTGTTTTAAAGACGGGGGGGCAAATTGTTAACGGGCCGTCAGAATTTTTCGCAATCTCTGAATGACCTGCTTGAGCTCACTGGGCTCTTTTTCCTCCCCCCCCCCCCCCCCTGCAAAATTTTACAAGTAAAAATTTGTTCGCATCGTTCGATTGTTATGAAAACTGACACACGGACTAATTAGGTTATGACAAACATATTTAGTCTTCATAATTAACATTGTAAAACCACTCGTAACACTAAAAAATTCATGTTTGTGTGAGGTGGGGGGAAAAGGAAAAAGAGCCGCTCACTGAATGCGAATCGAGTCAATTCTCCGTTAATTTTTTTTTCAACTATCCTGAATTTCGCTCTTTTTCCCCTAACTCATATTAACATCATTTTTACACTGTAAAGAGTTTTTTCAAGTTTAACTATGAAATTAAAAGAGTTTTTCATCGGATAAGCAATCAGACCAGATCTCGAGTGGCTGAAGTTCATGTCTTGGCTATGTTTCCTTTTCCGTAACCTCCGCAATTTTATGGGTAATTTTTTGGATCTACTTAAGAACCCCCGACCTATGATATCAACTTAACAGTCTTCCCCCTTGAACAAATACAGTAAATTAGCACAGAGCTTTCTTTTGGTAATTATAGTTTTGCTGCACTCTGTTCGGTCGGTCGAAAATTCGACTGTTGAAGTCTACTTAACAATATCCCCCTTTCTTAAAGGGGGATTGTTAAGTAGATCCAGTTTTTCTGTTTACATAGGCTACGATCATGCAAAACAAGCTGTTTTCCCCTTTTCCCGCACCTGCAAATCTGTATAGTTAAATTTACTGTTCACATAGTCCAATTGTCATGAAAATTGACATGCATTTTAATTAGGCCCTGGCAAACGTATTTGTTATTGTTAATCAACTTTGTAAAACAACTCATTAAAACTTAAAATTGATGCCTGTGAGGTGGGGCGGGGGGAAGAGCCACAAAACACATTTGAACTTCATATTTAACCTGGTAAAAGTCCTCGTTACAATATAAAGAGGCGTTTTCCAGTTTCTGACCCTGACTCCAATGCGTAAAAATACGAAAAAACTGCTCAAAAATTTTGTTCACGAGGACATTTGCAAAAGGAAAAAAAAATTTATGCGGCTGCTCACATTGACACCTTTTAAATAGTTTATATTTTAAAAAAAGTCATTTATAAAAAATTTTCAGAAAGAAGCAAAGAGGGGGTGGGGGCTGGAAAAGAGCCCTAAAATGATGGTTTGCTACTATGATGGCGACGGAAAAAACCCAAGACCACACTTGACCAAGTCAGTGAATGTAATTTCACTCTGATGTAACTGATGCTCTTTGCATGTTTTTTCCAATTTTCATTTGGTGAATTGCTTTGTGTTCAAACATTCATTTGCTTTGTGTTCACACGTAGATTTTACTACTGTAAAACTACGTATACATAAATAAAGTGATTATTTTAATTAACTATCACGGCATGGCATTGAAAATAGATAATGTTATTCGCCCTTATGCTGGTTCAACTTCAGAGGCAAAAGAGTTTAGTGAGTAGCTGAGGAAGTTTGAGTCATCAGCAAGCTGCAGAAGAGGACTGCCGTTGTTTCTAGAAGCTAGCGCATTAAATGTTTATGGCGAGAATATGCGAACGGAGACTACAGCAAGTTGAAGTGTACACTTCTGAAGGCGTTTTCGATAGGCCATCATAAGCTCACGATTTGATCATCAGTCGAAAACGATTATTAAGCGAACCGGTGGAGGTGCTCATGTCAGATTTGAATGTGTAAGGTTTTTGCAGAACTGATTGGTATAAAAACTGTGGACATGGATACTGTTAAATCGTTCGTATTGGGTCTTAATTTACGAGCATTGCCTGAAGAAATGAGCAGGAAGCTGTACTCGGCTCTTGCCACAAAGTCATGCTACGGATAAGGTACTGAGGGCCACATAGCACCTATCTGCTGGGCTGCAGCGACACAGCCTACGAACCAGGGAAACTTCAGTGGGGAGCGCTGGCGCAGCAGTGAGGCGACGTCTTTACCAAATTTAACGATAAAATTTAAAAGATCTCCTTGCACGTACGATTGGGCACATTTTGTTCTACTAGTTTGATGTTACGCAGGATAATGGAGAAACTTGGGTTGGACTTTCGTTCTTGGAATGTGACACTTGGTACTGTTGGGGATGCATCTCTGCCGATTTTGGGCAGAGTCAGAGTTTTGTTTGGTGAAACTTGGCTAGAAATATCGTTAGTAGAGTTTTTTGTGGTAGATCTTAAAATCGTTGTTGGGTTGTGACGCTCTAGTGGGGCATAACGCTATTTTAGTTGGAGGATCATTGACACTCAGTCGAGTTACCGATGGGTCAGTGCAGGTTAAATTTGACAAAATGAACAGCTGAGTAGCTGGAGCGGGTGAGAATTAACTGAAACCAATTGGGAAAGGTCAGTGTGGCCGTAAGCGTATGAAAAGAGGAAAGATGAAAATGTTATCAAACGACGACGGATTCCTTGAAGAAGAGAATCTTACAAGTAAATGGTGCGATCAGATAAAAACGTGGGTTTCATCACGGAAAGGGAAAACAAATCCTTCATTTGGGGTTGGGTCAGGATTTTCTGATAATAAAGTTCATTTGAGTAAGTCACACAAAAAAACGGGCCATGTAAAAAAAATATGCCACGTTTTTGTACTGGAAAAGTAAAGATCACGTTGTGAGAGTTAGTTCTATTAAAAGGGGGAGTCAAAGTAGCCAGTTGCAGCCATCGAGAAAGTGATGACTCAGACAAAGCTGATGATAGAGCATCGAATGATAGAGCATCGAATGATAGAGCATCGATAATAGAGAGAGGCTATCGCCTTTGAGACGGGGCCAGAGCAGTCAGTGATTGTAACAGAAGCTCAAAACAAGCTGGAAATGACAAAAAAGATAACCTATGTCAAGAAAAAAGCACAAGTTGAGCGAGTTTAAATCTTAGTCTCAGCAGAATCTGAAATTTTAAGACGAAAAAAAAAGAATAACAAAAAGACTGGAGGAAGATCACGGCAAAAATCTTTCGCAGCAAAAAATGAAGGGCGCCTGAAAAATAAGCAACGGTAATGTTGGGTAGGGGGAGGGGGGCATGACGCAGTCAGGATCAAAAGGTATTCTGAGCTGGCAAGACAAAATAATGGGTTGAATAAATGAACCTCGATTGTCTGGAGCACACACGCTACTCTGAAGGAGCAGGAAAATCGAAGGTCAAATTCAGAGAGTTGCCAATAAGAGTGAAATTTTGGAAAAATTAAAATACATTCTAACAGTTTTTCTTATAAATTAATAATTTCGACTTTCATCCATGACATTACAGCGATAACCTCCGTGTTTGAACATTTGATACATTTCATGGAGACGTTTCTCTCTAAGGTGTCTGGTCACTACGTAGTCATTATGGCAATTCTAAAGATGAAATTGCCACGCCTGCGTGTGGTAGGTACATAACCAAGAATGATAGGCATAAATGACCCTTTTCTACAATTGCGCAGGGATGAAGGTGATTGTTTTTTACCTACAGAACGAAGCCGTCATTGAAGGCGATTAGTTTATTAGACGACTCATTGAATATTGAGCCTTTGACTTTTTGAGTAGTGTGGAAAAAGTTGACTAAAATTTTTGGAATTCAGAAGGAAGCAGAAAGCAAATCAACCGTGAATTATAAGGATAGTATAAAAGTACAATTTACGACTTAAGAAGTAAAGTGCGTTCAGAACCAGGCGGAACAGGTGTTGTCAAAAAATATTCCCAAAAATTTCGCGGATGTTTACGGCTGGCTGCGAGAAATGCGCTGAGCAGGTTTCAGCAGGATTTTGCTGCTGATAAAATCGATATCGAGAACCAAGAACTTGAAAGCAAGCTGAACGCATATGGAGCGGCTCGAGTCAAGGGCGGCACAGTGTCTAGCAGCAAGTGTATGAAGCGGCGATTCTGTGTTAACCGATGGGATCTTTGGAATGATTGGGTAGGGCAGTAGGTTGCGTTTCATTATAAAAGTGGCAGAAAATAGGTGAGTTGAAAGCTGGTCGAACCCCTGGAGTTTATGCTTATGCCTTCTGATATTACGTGATTTATTCTTACCAAAGAGAAGCGCGTACAGACTCGAATGCAATGATAGCCGTGTTGACGGATTGCTGGTAATGAAATTTAATCAAAACTAAATGGAATCCAAACCTGGAGATGCTCAAAAGGATATGCCAAAAGCATCTTCACAAAATTTTTATTGCTGCGAAGAGAAATCAAGGGTTTCAAGTTAATGTTGGTGAAAAAGTAACGAATATCACAAAAGTTTAAGCATGACAATCTTATTGTGCACTGCACGTCTCATATGAAGCAGATAATTCAGCAAATCTGCTAGAAATAGAAAGTTACAAGAAATCAATAAAGACCTCTTGGAAAACGTATTGGTGTTCAGTGTGACGCAGATCGAAAATGCGATTAGATCTGCTTCAGGATTGGAACGCATTTTATACCAGTGAACGCGCTGTTTGATACTGCGAACGTCGGAGCTAACCTCTTTCATGAGGATTTGCTCAAATCCTTGGATTTCAGACGTGTAAACCGAATCTCCGAAGAATTTTTTCTGGTCGTCGAGAACCCGAACGCTTCTGATGACTTTTTTAAGGTAATTTTTTGTGAAAAGTTACTAGCTAAAAGGACAGCAGTCTTTCGTGATTCAGGAAACTATCGAAACTGCCA